AGTTTAGCTGTAGTCGCTGGGGTAAAACATTTTCTTTTTCTGCATTTAATATACCATAACCAGTTCTCTTTTAAAGCCTTTTTATGCGATTTCTGAATATTGATTTATTTAAATCCTCTTCTTTTTCTTTTTTCTTTTATAATCTTCTACTATTTAACGTCTAGCATTTCAAAGGGCTCATTGACATGCTTCAATAGTTAAAAAGTTGACACGTTATTTTGACTAGTTTCTATTTCTTGTCCTATTTTCTTTTGTCCTGTCCGCTGAAGAAGTCTCTTAGCCGAGACGTCGTTATCTTTTGTCCTGTCTCTTTGGTGCATGCTACCACAGACACTGCTCTACTATTTCCTTCAATGGAGATACGGTATATCTTAACAATCTGGCGTTGCTTACAGCCATACATTCCTTTGTTGTTGTTGTTTTTTTGTTTGTTTGTTTTTTGGGGGGGGGGGGTATTTTTGATAATACGATTATGAATTAGCATTGGTGTTTGGGGATTGGCGTATAAGCCAAGTAAGCATCTTTTTGAATACTACTTCGGCAATGTGCGTCATTGATTGTTTTCATAATTTGTTTTTAAATATAATTGCTATTTTATTTTTTTTTGTACGGTAGGTCACATGAACGTGACAGAGAAGTATATAATGCAGATAAACCAAGCCAAAAATATTCTAATGCAGCGCACAGCCATCTAGAAACTTGATCATTAGATACGTCACAGGATATCTTTTTTTTTAAAGGTAGTATCATTTTATTCATGTTGAAGTGAGTTTATAGTTTCTTTGTTGTTTTTTTTTATGTTTTACTATATTTTGATAATTTATTGTAATTAAGTGATGCTATTACATATTGTTCTAGTTTTGCTTTAACTTCATTCTGGTCAGCTTTTGTGGTCAGTTGGTCTTTGGTAAGTATTTGGTGATCATAGCGTTTTTTATCTTTGAGTTCGATCATTGTGTATTATGATTATTCTTTGCTTATATTTAACCCTTACAAGTAGATGGTCAGAGCATTCATCTGCTCCTCGATAGCTTCATAAGTCTAGCATGTCTGAAACATGCCTCCGATCGATTAGAGAATGATCAACTTCGTTGTGAGTATCTCCATCTGTTGAGTTCCAAGTAACTTTATGTATATTTTTTGTGCGGAAACTTGGTGCTGTTGTCATCCCATTTCCTGAAACAAAGTCTTGGAGTCGGATCCCATTGCCACTGGATTCTTCATACAGACTCTCCTTGCCAATACTTTATTCCCCTATTATTGCATTAAAGACACCAATAACTATTTTAATAGCATTGTGTCATGCTTCACAATAGATTTTTTCCATCGTCTCAAAAAAGGATTTTTTTTTATGTGACGTTCTGTATCTTCGGTGGGACCTTAAACATTTACAAAAAAATTTATAACAAGAATAAGAATTAAAATATGATCATTCCCTAAGTTGTTGTTTTTTCCACAAAACTATTTACCTTTGCCTAAGCTTGATTGTAATTTATTTTATTTTTGGAAATATAGGAAAAGTAGGACATGATTCAGAGGTGAGCATTGTTCGCAGTGAATTAGTCATATATTAAACAATGACAGAAAAAATTTCAAGCAATAATGAAAATCATTGCAAATCCCATCTACATGCATAGGAGCCAAAATGATCAATAAATTGATCGTGGGCCCTTAAGATTTAGAAGAAGAAGAAATCAACTTTTATATTTCGGTCGAAATCGTAAAAGATCGTATGGCAACTTTCGGCGCAGAAATCGAAATTCGGTCAGCCTCTAAACAGGGGAGCTTTGAATTTTAAGTCATTATAAAATGCTTTCATATTTTGTAATTCATATAACAATATTTTCTACATGTGATAACTCACAAGTCGATTATCTTTCTTTTAAGTTCTCTTTGTAATGAGCATAAAATGGAAAGTTCTTAATTTTAAATTGCATTTTTACTTTTGTAAAGGTTGCTAGTCTTAACTTTCAAATATTATTGCTATTTTAAATCTTATTTTGTCGCCCTCAAAAGGAACCTTGACACTCTGGCTGGTTGTTCAGTGAAGAACATAGCGGTGACAATATGTTATATACACCACTGGATTCAGAATTGAATAGTCTATTATTTGATAATTATTTTTAGATCTCAGTTAGTTATGGTTTTGATTTTATGGTCCAAAGACGAGGCACAGTTAAAAGTGTGCTAAATTTTTAAATAAAAATTCAACACACCACAAACAGAAGCACACAAATACAAAGGTATTAATATTGCCCCTTTTAAAATCCATTCATATTTTTTTTTAAACATTGACATTGTGTATTTTCGTTTATAAATAAACATTAAATAAAACATGCCAAGTGTTTCATGATAAAAACAATATTATTATTAGCAAATGATAGAAGTGAAAATACATAATTTTAATATATTAAAGGGTACAAATACAAAATTAATTGTCGGTTATGATATATGTTAATTTCTGTTTTCCATAAAACTCATCTATTGAACAAAGGGAACATATTAAGTATTAACTCTTAGATTTCATCTGTTGTATAATGATTTGCACATAATTTTTTTTTTTTAAAGTAACCATTGCAGTTTTAGCAGCATGCTTGCTGTGTTATAATCATTCATATTGCTGCAGAAGGAGAATGTGCATCATCAACTAAGTACGCAAACGCCTGATAATTCTCCAGAATTAAAAAGACTTAAGCTATCATACCTGTTGAACTATTCAAGACAAGCATTTTGTTTTCTTCGCCTTATTAGAAATATTAATATTAGCATAACACTAGAAAATTCATTAAAATGAAATAACAAGACTCTCGGCCTCTGTTGTTTTCTTCTACTGACCACACTGATGTCCACACTATTTCTATTTATTTCAAGGCTGATATCTTTTATCAACTAATTTTATCACAATCCAATCAACCGCGGACAGCTGTTGCATTTAGATCAACTTAAAATTATAATGATAGCACAGCCATTGGTACGGTTTAGTCAGATATTGTATCTGCTAGGACAATTAGTATAGTGTTAGATTTTCCATAGCGGTAGTGTGTTACATTTATGAAATGAGTATGTCCTATGAGTAATAGCCCTGTCATGATGATTGGGTTGCTCAATATCCTAGTCACCACTCTCATAACGTGAAATGATAAGCTGTACATTTAAGCTAAGATCTTATAATTTCAAACAACTAAATAAAACAAAATGCGTAAATCAATTAAAAATAATACAAATCAAACATTAATGTTTCTTTTTTTTAAATCCACAATAAATCATAGACCGAAAAGGCTTTGCCTCCTCTTGGCGTATTAAATGGAAATGACATGCAAATATATCTAAGGAAAAAAATGATAGCATATATACTTGATACACAAATATGCGTAAGATTAAATACTTATTTGACATTTTTATGAAGTTCACTGTTACATTTTAACTACGTAGAATGCTTTTTGAACTATCGTAATAAAGAAAAAAGTCTTAGCTTTAAAAGCGTTTGTCATTTCTATGACCGGAAAACGTCACATCGTTTTACGTAATTTTACTATTTTTAGATAATTTAGAACATAGATTCTAACAATGCATTTCCGAATATAAAAAAGCAGTGACAATTTTTTGATTTTTAAATCTTTCATAAAATAAAGTTGTTAACACGTTTTCGTCTAGGTCTTCACCCACTATGCCGGCTCACATTAAACATAGAACTACCCAACAGCTGTTGAGAGAGTGGCCAAACGGAGTACCTGGACAATTTTTTTATAAATATCTTAGTGAGCTTGGCCATACTGTATGCCCGGATGTTATATTAATAGATTGCCGCCATTTAAATGACAAACCCTATTACGAACTTTCGATTACGTTAACTTGCACAAACTCATCAGCAGTGCTGTCTTTCTCTTGGTTCTATTCTGCTAGAAACACTTCTTGACAGTCCTGTCTTTCTCTTGGTTCTATTCTGCTAGAAACACTTCTTGACAGTCCTGTCTTTATCTTGGTTCTATTCTGCTAGAAACACTTCTTGACAGTCCTGTCTTTCTCTTGGTTCTATTCTGCTAGAAACACTTCTTGACAGTGCTGTCTTTCTCTTGGTTCTATTTTGCTAGAAACACTTCTTGACTACAAATGTTATTTACAACATCATTGGTGTATTACTGTGGAACCTTTTTTTTTTTTTTGTATTTTTTTGTGTTACCAACCGTTCAGTGAATTTTTGTATCGTTTAACAAACCCAAACCCAAACATAAACCCAAACAAAACACAAGAACAAAAAAAAAATGGTACATAAAAAGGAGTGGAAAAAAAAAAAGTTATAATCCACGAGTCACTCCTGATCAAAAAGTTAATATGTGACGCAACTTTAAGAGTTCAAAGGATATTTCATTTTTGTTAAGGGTGTGTGTGTTTGTTTTTTTTTGGGGGGGGGGGTTGTTGCAGAGGATTGAAAAGTTTATGAAGAAACAGTTTAGAAGTTTGATTTTCCTGTTATTCACGAATAATACAAAGATTTCATTTAATTGTTACTGGCTGTTTACATGAAATGGACTGAGAAGCTCTCAACTGAAAAATTTTACCATCTTATAACAGGCGCTACGGTAACATATATAAGGTGACAGACGGGGTTAGTTTAAAATGTAAATTTTAAAAAGTCAAATTACATCTGTATGTCCTAACGTAAATAATTGTATCATCATCGGCGTTTACATTTTAAAAATAAACTAAAGGTATCTGTTTATGACAGGTAAATATTTTTATTTCAACTATAACGAAACCGTTTTTAATAAATTATCGGTAAAAATAACTTCGACTGTACTATTGTATTTTCTCCGAAATTAGTACCCTGTGCGTTTTTTTCAGAATCAACCGTTTTCCGCCCCTGATTTCGAATTAATTATTGAATTCCGTGGCATTCCTTCAGTATTTTCAAAGGACTCTTATAAGGCCGAGCTTAAAGCTGCCTATACTTCTTATAATAATGTCTTTAAACATCAGCAGATCGTAAAACCCATTTCACGATGCCATCACAGAAAGTTCGCTTGTGTTTCCTCGCTGTCTGCATCTTCTCAGTGACACACCAAGTGGCGTCCATCAGTGTCGGAGCCTTCAACATTCAAACTTACGGTGACGCGAAACAGGCGGCGCAGGGCCAAAACATCGCTCAGGTGCTGACCCATTACGACATCGTCCTCATCCAGGAGGTCCGTGACCAGGACCACTCGGCCCTCATCAATCTCAAGAACCTTCTCGGGTCCACCGCCTGGGACTACGTGTCCAGCAATCCTGTGGGACGTACGGCCAGCTACAAGGAGCAGTATGTTTTCTTTTACAAGAAGGCTTCCCTGAACGTCCTGGGGAATTTCCAGTACAACGATTCCAAGAGTGATGTGTTTGAGCGTGAGCCGTTCGCCGTGGACATAGAGTACCCGTCCACGTCACTAGGCCACGCCGTCAATGTCGTGCTGATGGGTATACACACACAGCCCGACATGGCATTGGAAGAGTTACAAGTGAGTACATTCAGAAATTTTAAATGTGTGAGATCAAAGCAGTGGTCTGGCTGGGTATTCCGCCGAACGTAGGAAAAATGTCACATGAAAATAAATTCACCGAAAATAAGCGACACACAAAAAAAAGATCACAATTTTTATAATTGTGTACGGTGTCAGTGTTTATGTGTTGTATTATTTTAAAATGTATTTATATTTGTAAGTCCATATTAATTTTGATTATCGAGCGATTAACACCAAATAGAAAATTGCGGCAGCTCATTGGGATCATGATTTGACTCTCTTCTGGCTTCCGATTAAATAGGTTTTTGTAATTTTTAGAAGGTAAGCATGTTATATTTCACACATTCATTCCCCGATTTGTTCATATTCGGAAGCCAATAAACACGTATATGAAAGATTGAATAACAATAAATTGGAGTAAGTGATTGCGATCAATAAAGCTCTCGTAGATTAAGATCGTGATGTGGTTCTCTTTCGGGGTAAGCGATGACAGGAAGCGTCCGTCAGTCAAGGCCGTTGAGACTTGGATCTTGGGCTGCTTGGGCTGTGTCAGAGGGTACGGTTATACCTGTAAATCAGTTTCCTGTGCATTTTTATTAGTATTCTTAACAAGAGTGGTGCAGAATAAGTTTTGAAATCATGAGTGGGCGAGGCGATGCAAAACGATTTAGAGCCCCTGACATATAGACAATACGTCATGGTATTAAGCACTAGAGGGCTAAAATTTTCTTAATGGTTTCTAACACATTTACAAGTCCTAAATAATTTTTAAACTGAGGAAAAGGGTGGGGTGGGGGGGGGGACTGAGCACACCATTTTGACCTATGCTGCAGGAGCTCTTGGACAGTCAGGTAAATGTGTGTCATCGATTAAAACAGTATTAGGTTCAAATATATATATATATATATATCACAAATTGTAATTACTTTGTTCAATTGTGTTTTCTCCTCCCAGGCCTTGCCAACCGCCATGACAGCTGCCACAGCTCTCTTCCCCAACGCCGCCGGTGTCATTGCCATGGGCGACTTCAATGCCGACTGTTCTTACCTTAACAACCAGGAGAAGGCAACCCTTCCCTTGTTTGTCGACCCCAAATATCGGAGCTTGATTGCCGACACCGTCGACACCACCACATC